AATCAGTTCTAGTAACTCATAACAATGCGATCTACATAACCTTTGCTGACAATTGACTAGAGTCAGTATACTCACTGTTCAAATATTTAACATTAATCAACACTGTTGTACTTGGTGTCTGAGTAACCTTCTTCAAAGTTGACTCTATTCACTGTCTACTTCTATTACATTTTTCATAATATTAAGTCTTTTTTTTTTTTTTCAGGTACTGCTTATGTGCATTCAGCCTGGAATTCTCAAAACTTTGTGCTTGTTTTCTCATTTAGCTCATGAGTAGTTCTCAACAGAGTAAAATAAAACATTGCTTTCAAATGAAGAAGGTTACTTGTAAGACAAAAGGATAAATTTAGATTGCAGGCTGTAGAGTAATTTAAGAATACACAGGACAGCTTTAAGTAACGGTAAGGGAGCTAAAATCAGTTCATCAGCAATATACCACTTTACTTGAGTTAATTTAACCAGCAAAGCAGAGAAAACTTCAGCTCATTCACTAGGAGGAGGTCTTTCCACCTCATGGTGTGGAACAGCAATGAAAAATCATGAATCCATGACACCTGAGACACTCCAATACTTGGCATGTTTCAGACGTGTGACAGACTTAGCACAGAGATGTCAGAACTAGAGTGGAATAAAAATTATGACTTCTTAAGGATTCTCAAGCATGATGTGTTATATCCTCTGCTTGAAGTTAAGAGTAGAACTGTGATTTTAAATTTAGCTTTACTCAGAGCAATTTAAATAAGATTCATATCTTGTTCCTAAATAAAAAGCCCATAAGTTTTCCATTTGAGAATGAATCCCTTAGAAATAACAACAGAAAAAATGCAAAGAAGGGGATGATTTAAAAAAGATGAAGGCGTTCTTTTATTGCTCCATTTTTCACATATTTTGTTACCTTAATAAAAGAGAATGATTGATAAAAGTTCTCAGCATTGATTTCTATTGAGAAAAAGTATTGTTCCACTAGACCAAATGTAATTTTTGATGACTGCTATTATACCTAACAAACAATGTAAGGTACCACTTCTTTTTATATTTTGTTTTCTCATATTTTACTTATGTTACTTACAGGATAAGCCATTGGCACTGTTTGTAACCCAATGTCTTCTGAACATGAAATACTGGATTATTGCACAATTCAACATAATGGAAACTACACACTTGATTAGATTTGAGTCATTAATTACAAAGCAGCACTAATGACACAGTAGTTAATTCATTAAGAACAAATATCAACTGAATTTCATTCTAGTGTCCAAGATTTTTGTCTGAGCTCCAATTTGGCCTCAAAAAGCACGGTGCAAAATTATTCCCGTAATTTCACTTTGTAAATAAGAGTGAAAAACGTTCAGTTTGATTCTGAGCTAGACATAAGCAGCTGGATTCTAAGAACAAAATTGTAGTTTCTGATATGTTTAACCAGTGTACAAAATGGATATATTAAAACATACAGTCCAGTAAAATTGTTTCAACTTTATAATTTTAGAAGAAAGATGTCTGTGCAGTTATTTTCCTTTGGAAGTTCTGTATTGATTACTACCATAACACTGTTGCATATTTTTTATCAGAATTACCTTGCTATTGTATATCTTCTGAATTATAACATTCTGTAGAAAAGCCATTCTCCCACAAAAAGAAATTAAAAAAAAAAAAAAACCAACAAAAAGAACACTTAAAACAAACAAAATAATCCCACGCATTTGTTGGCTACAAAACCCAGAAGCAATATAAAAATGGGAGATATTCAGGGACTTTTCTGAATTTTCACACGTACCGTTCTGACAGTCAAAATGAAGAAAGTAATAAATCTGCATTTTTTTTTAGTGATAATACAGTTGACCTATTACTGATGATTCCTTAAAAATCTGTCTTGTTGACATATTTCATTGCAAAAGTTCCTTTTCATTTTTCTTTTGGAAGAACAATAAATGAGCTAATTTTTTTTTTCTTTATCTTATTTTTACTGTAGAAAATTATTGGGCAATATGTACAAGTCTGATAAGAACAGCAGAAGAAACACAGGACCAGGATCAAGAGTACACAAGAAAGAAGAGATGCTAAGATATATGTAAGTAATATAATTGAGGATAATACTAGCAAAAATCAAGATATTTAATTGGTATTATATATATATAATATATATATAAAAAATACACAAAAGGTATTTTATATATATATAAAATACACAAAAGGTATTTTATATATATATAAAAGCACAATAACTCACTTTGTGGCCAAAAATTTTGAGATAAACCCTAGTAGGCACAAATTCTCGTTTTAGTAGCTTGCAGGTTACATTTGCAATTGCAGCCCCTCCTCAGAGGAAGGGCAGGCACCATGCTGGGCAGGAGGAACTGACAGATGGCTATAAGAGGGCAGTTTCAAGAGGGAAGAATTTGGAAGGACACCAAGAAGTGCACCAATGTGAATACCAGCTGCAGCTACAGCAGCTTTTTAAAGAGTTGTTTTAATTACAAATCATTTTGGAATACAAATTTGGTGTCCTTTCTAATTACTCAGCATGAGGTACAAGAAGCATGGTGGCAAAGGTCAATCTAAAAAGACTCTGAGCATGAAAAATACTGTGATTAGCATGAAAACAAAGCAGAATGAAATGAGAAGCAGATAGCATAGAGCTTTATTCTAGACAGAAACTCCTCTACAGGCATGGAAGGAAACACCACATTTGTACTGAGAGCTGCCTACAGGTCATAGAGATGAAAAAAAATAATGGCAAAGCTTTTTTTTTTTTTTTAACTATCTTACTGGGAAAAAAATGACAAATGATGCCACCTCCAGGAATAATGCCTGAAGCACTGGGGTGTTCCTGTGTGACTGATGAATACTAAAGCCTATAAAAGGCAGACTGTACAGAAATAAAATTCATAAGTATCATAAGTAGAAGAAGGAAGAGATCCACTACAAAATACACTTGAATGGGCTAATGGAATCTAGAAGGCAAAAAATGCTAAAAAGCTGAACTGCACTTTATAACAGAGCATAGAAATTTGGAGACCATTCCTTTGGTCTCCAAAGTGCTTGTGAAACTGAACTTGCTGTATGACAGCACTGTTTCCACTCTGGGAAGGGAAGGCATCAATATGACCTGAATGCTTAGAATAAAAGTGATACTTGCAGTGTTGCTGCAGATGATCTGAACACTGCTCACGTGCTGCAGCAGACAGCATGTGACACAAGTGATGAATTTGCAGCTATGCTTTTACATCAAGAGCCAATTGAACCTTACTGTATGTTGCCACATACTGTCATGACAAATAACAGCAATATTGACAAGTGCGCTTAAACTGTTCTGTCTGCGAAACCCAGTATCTGAAATGTCTCATCCCCTGCAAGTGATATTTCAGATCTCAATTGCTCAGTACAAGTAGTAGATGTCTGCAGAGTCCAAAAGTGAAAAATTATGTTTACATCATTCCAGTGCTGTCAGATTCATGACAGAAATGTTCTTTCCTTTTTTTCTTACGTAGCAAATCATATCAATATTACTAAAACTGTAGTCAAATATTTCAAAGAATGCCATGATTAAGGTTCCTTGTGAAGCACATTTTAGAAGGTTCAGGAGTTTTTAAGTGAATTTGATGTGGGGTTTTTTTTGTTTTTTTTTTTTTAAGTTTTATTAAGAAAACAAAAAAATGTTAATTACTTCTTGTGCCAGGAAAGATTTCTTGTAAGGAGAAGTTCTTTCTATTGGTAACATTTGACTTAACTTTTCATTCAGTATGAATCACAGATTCAGAGAATGGCTTAAGTTGGAAGGGACCTTAAAGACCACTTCCAACTCTCTGCTGTGGGCAGGGTGCCACCCACCAGACAAGGCTGCCCACACAGGAGCTAAAAGGTAGTGAAGGACCACCCAAGTCAAAGAACACAAAATCAGCTCGCCAGCTTATAAAACTGGATGAGGATATGCTCTGAAAGATAGCTGCCTATCCTTTGGGATCAGTGACGCATCTTGAATACATCTGAGAACGATAACATCTGAAAGGCAAGGAGAAATCTTATACTTGGTCCCATTTTAAATTCATGTAGCATTCCGGAGCAAGAAGCTTCATAATGTGGCTCACAGGTAGGGACAAACAGCCACAGCCACAGCAGTTCTCAGTGTTCATAGTAAGCTCACACAGGAGATGTGCTCAAGCAGAGCAGGAGCTGGTGACTGTGCTCTTTGAAAGGAAAAAGTTCACTGGCTGCAGGCACAAACTGATCTAATCACAGGTGATTATGTTTATCATGAGGAAACCAGTCATGATTTCCAACAGCAAACGTAACATTACTGAAATTCCAACATCAGTATATGAAAATATGCTCCTGTCTGAGAAGTCATTACTGATGACAAATACACGGAGCAGGAAACAGCTTCCCCGGTTCAGGGCATTCTGCACTTTGTAATGGGAGGCATCAGACAACTGAGCAAAGACGTTGAAACGGTGAGTTAGTGGAAATTAAAAAAACATACCAAATGGTTTGATAGATTGTATTACAAACCTTTCATTGGCTCTGACTTATGAGCCATGTGTCCTAAAAGCAAGGCTATAGCAACACATCTCGACATAAGATCGGCTCTCATTCCTCTCCCTCCCTCTGCTCCTTTCCCCCAGGCCCTCTGAAGCTGCTCCGCTCTGCATCCTGCCCTCGCCGTGCCTCCCAACACCCAGCGACTCGAGCTCACTTCTGGTACGTAACAAGCGCACGTAAACCCGCGCTTCAAGCCTGCGAACACTTGGCGCGGCTCGGAGCCGCTCCCGTTCTCCCCGCGCAGCCACGCGGAGCAGCAGCTGCGCCTCTCCCGCCGGGGCGGCACCGCGGAGCATGCGCAGAGGCCGCTTCGCCCCTTCCGGCAGCGCAGCGGAGCGGGGCAACATGGCGGCCGCCGCGCCCGCCGCCCGCTGGGCCAGCGCTGCCGCCGCAGCGGCGTTGCTCCTGGGCTGCTGCGGCGCGGTGCTCGCCGGCGGCATCCAGGTACGAGGGCCGGAAGGAGAGCGGTGACGGGGACAGAGGGCGAGCGGCGCCGCAGGCTCCGTGCTGCTACCTGGGCGCTGCTTCCTTCATCTTGCCGGCGCTCGGCGGAGCGCGCAGCCCGGCCTGCCCCTCGTGGGGTGGAGCCCCGCCTCGCTCCGCCCCAACCCGGCTGCGGTGCCGCTGCCTCGGTGCTGGGCTCTGGTGCAGCAGTGCGAGCACGTGCGGCTTGCTTAGAGAGCGAAAAGAGTTGTTCAGAAACCCTCCTTTCTTTTAATACGTTTGCAGCCTCCTGAAATTCAGTTTTGCTATGGTGATGCAGTGTAACTTTCAGTTGCGCAGGCTCTCTTTGCCTTTCCGGACGTTTGCAAAGCCGCGTGTGAATAAAGGGTTCCCCCGGCCTTCGTGCTGCAGTTCTGCCCGCTGTGAGCGAGTCTGCGGGCCGCATCGCCCGCTGCGCTGATGCCTTGTGTCAGCAACGTGCTTTTTGCACAGTGCACGCGCTGCTCCTGGGGCTCCGGCCCCGCTCGGTGTCCTGATGCTTGCAACCTGCTTGGAAAGGGCCCCGTGCCCTGCAAAGCCTGCGGGGAGCCGCGATTGATTGAGGTGATGGATTGCCATTGTCCTGGCTCCTTGTTTCTAAACGTAGGGCTTAAAACTGTAGGTTGATTTCTCTGCTAGAAACGAGACTAAAGACTTTTTCTGGAGAAACAAAAGGAACAATAAAATAGAACTTCACCCACGCCCCTTACCTCGCTAAGGAAGAAACTGTCAGTAAATTAATGTATTTTGTTCTCGGAGCATACTGTGGTATAGACATGCGTGGGCTTTCCTTGTTAACTAAGCTGAAAGTGACTAATGGATCTTTTTGTTTGTTGTTTAGCAAGTTTGGAGGAAACATTAGTTACAGTTAACTTGGGTAGAATGTGTGACATGGAACAAGAAAAATCTCTGGCTTTGAGGCTTTGGTAAATTTTATTTTAGGTATGGCAAGTGCAAGAATACAAACATTCTTTGTTTTGTGGAAAGAAAAGTAGAAATGGTCATTTCTTTCTTTCTGCTGAAAAACATCTAATATTGTCTTCATCTCTCAGGATCAAGCAGAACAGTTCTTCAAAAGTGGACATACAAATAACTGGGCAGTTCTGGTAAGTCTGGTTCTGGAAAATTCTAGAAAAAAAGGTTTTCAACTTTTCATTATGTGCTCTGTGTGCAACAGTTGTGCAGTAATTCTGTTCATTTGAAAGAGATGGAATGGAAGGATAAAGACTTGGAAATAAATTTGAAGTGATCCCTGCAAATCTATTAACTGTAATAAAATTATCTGTTCCATGTAATTACACATCAAGCACTCAGAACGTAAAGTTACCTGGCAGATTTCATTAAAGTAAAGTTCAACAGCATTAAAACAGTTAAATTAACACAGTGCATATTGAACCAGCATGTAGTTGTCGTATCAGAGAGGTATGTCTCTTTGACCAGGAAGGTATAATTTGTTTCTGATTTGTGTGTTCTTAGTCAATCTGTTAACTTGTGATAACAGGCTTAGAATAAAATAAATTAAGGAGACATAATGTTTAAATCAACTGTTGTTAATTTTTTTTCTTTGCCATGAATCTTTTATTAACTTTGAATCATACTGCAGAATTGGTTCTTAATCACAGCTCAGGTCTTAATGACTAATTTGTTTCAGAACACTATCATGATTACTCAGTAGCAGATGTTTGTTTTACAGATACTAAAATTTAGCAACATAAAATGAAAGTAAATAGCAATGAATTGAATTAGAAGGAATAATTTCTATATTCTATGAAGTACAAACTAGAAACTATTAAACACCAAGTATTACTTTAAATACTATTAACAAATAAACACTTTTGTTAGAATGCTTAAAAAAAACAAAAGTGGAATGTTCTGTCTGAGGAACAATACTTTCTATCCTCAACAGATTCTCTGCACATTATATTTTAAACAGTTCACGATTTGTCTTTATAACAATTATTACAGATTTTTTAAGCAATAAAATAGTGAGGATTTGGCTGCCATCAATGGCTTCGAGCCTGGGCATGTTTTCTACTGTGTTGTAAGAGGTAATGGAGGAGATGATGATGTCTTGCAAAGTCACAGCTGTATTTGCCGGGGTTAGTTTTTAGAGCTGTGAGTCTTGCTGAAAAGCAAATGTACACATGGGAGTTTTTGAAATTTGTAACTGAATGGACTTGAAAATCCTTTCAGACTGAATTTGGATTTTGATTTAAGTTTCTTTAAGTACAGAAAAAAAGATGTTCGATAGCAGAAGTTTGCTTAAAGAAATTTATTAATAATTTTAATGAATTAAATATTAATATTTAATTTGGAGTTGAAGAATTTAAAAAATTGTCTGAAATGCTGTGGTCATTCCTTCTTTTCTATTTTTCTGCTTTTAAAATCAGATCTTTTATTAAGCTTTTTTCTTCATCTGTCTGAAAGATTGGTAAAGCAAAAGGAAATTTGTCTGCAAAGGGAAGTTGCTGTTGGTGTAGAACAAACGAAAAGTAGTGAACTTGATGTAAACACAAGGACAGAGATGAGGCCAGCAAGGAACTGCAGCAGATTGCCTCTCAAAATTTTGGAATCTCATTGGTTTGGAGTTTTTGAGGACAGATTAAATAATATCTCACCTGGGGAATAGGTCTCTTCCAACCTTAATGATTCTATGAATGACTCATCCTCAACCCTTCACCCTGTTAATATAACTGAACTCCTTTGAAATTTTTTGAGACTTTGTATTCAGATTTTGGTTAGAGCTTATGTAGCTCTTTATTATGTTTGACTCCTTAAATGCAAAGTACTCTCATTGTATTTTCCCCAGTGTGGTTTCTGCATGAATTCACTTATGCTTTTATGCAATAGTGTTCCCAGGACGGGTTTGCAATAGAGATGAAAACTCTTCCTTAGATTTTTCTTTTATTGGATATGGAGACAGTAAGAGGAAATAGAATAGCTTATCTGCTCATTGTTCTTGCTTGTTTATTCCCTAGAATGGCATTTTCTATACTTAGTTGGGTTTTATGTCAATATTGTCATGAGCAAACACGTAAAGAGCATTTATTTTTTTAACATTTATTTTCCACATTTATTTCTTTGGTACACCTTTGGTATAAACAAAGGTTTATATTCATATAGCTTACATCATGACTTTCTTGGTGTTGCTGTTTTCTTTCTGATTTGTTACTTTGTTAAATACCTGTAATCAGTGTCTTCTGATGAATAAGCCAGGCCTATTTGTATATTTTACACTACTTAATGTGGTGTTGGTTTTTCTCTTTCCTTAAAAATTCAAGGTGTGTACATCTCGATTCTGGTTTAATTACCGTCACGTGGCAAACACTCTTTCAGTATACAGAAGTGTCAAGAGATTGGGCATTCCTGACAGGTGAGGGGATCTTGGTGAATGCAATTCCTTTCAAATGTGCTATTAAAATCTTTTTGCTGTCTGAAGCAGTATGAAAATACATTTTTCAGGTTTAGGTAACTTAGAAATAAATGTTTATCACAATTCTTAGGTGTGCTCTTTTATGTTGGGGTTGGTTGGTTTGTTTTGAAAGGATTTGTTCCTTGTTTTAAATGGAACTGTATCTGTCTGGTGGTTTAAATTACTTGTCATCTAAGAGAATGATTCATTGGGAAAGTGGTTTGTGCTTCCATGAATATAGGTTGCTCTGATTTGCTGATGTTTGGGCGCAATGATTCAGTTTGTAAAGAAAGTTCTGCTAGGATAAAACTAAACCTAAATGAATTAAGGAATAGTTTTTGATTGTTGGAATCATTATGTAGTTTAAGTTTTACAATATGGGAATAGCAGCAACATACATGATTGGACTACTTTAGTTTAACAGTTAACTGGCAAATTAACACCAGAGTTGTTTTGCTGGAGGTATGGACAGTGTGTTTTTTAATAATGCATATGGTGCATGTTTGTGTTCAACTGTCTGCATTTTATTCCAAATGAAGTAATTTACTTTGGTTATTTTTGAGGATCTGTGCTTCAGTTATTTTGGGTAGCATTTATCTTTTTAGCATGTGTGGAGTGTATCAGCACTTAAGAGTAATTTTGTCCTTCATTAAAATACTCATGTAGACATACAGGCGGTGACATAGGTAAACAAACAGTGACTACTTGGTATTTCATCTGTTGACCAAATCCTGACCTGCCAGATGTAGATGTCTGGCTGCATGCAGGTTGGTACAGTGTTATAATAGTCATTCAAGTGCTTTTTTTTTTTTCATGTTACTGTGAATAAGACAAAATCTGTCAGCTGTCAACTCATATGTGTTCCATAGAAGAATTTCCTGTTAATACTACTGACCATGCAGTGGTGTTTCAGATGTGGTGTTGTAGTTTGAAGAATGTTTGTGAGCTCCTCAGATTTAATGAACAAAATAATTTTCATTATGTTTTTAATTGATCTGTTTGAAAGGGCACAGACAGGCTGGGATTTCTTCTATGGAACTGTATGAAGTGATTTAGCCTTGTTTTGTCACCTAGGTCTATGTGAGTCTGTACCATAGAGTTGCTAGTGTTAACTGCCTGCATATTCAGATTTGGCCTGAGTGAAACCTGTTGCTAGATAGCAGCAAGCTGCATCTCCCTCTGTGACAACTCTCTGTCAGTGAGCATGTTCATAAGGAAATACCATGTAACTAAGCAAATCTTCACCTACAATGACAGGCATCTTCTTGATGTTACAAGCTACTGTTTTAATCATGGGATGATTTTATTGTAATTCCCTTTAGATTTATGTGTAACCAGAATGTCTGAAAGGTCTTCCTTGTATTTCACAGTCACATTGTCCTGATGCTGGCAGATGATATGGCATGTAATCCCAGGAATCCTAAACCAGCTACTGTGTTTAGTCATAAAAACATGGAGCTAAATGTCTATGGAGATGATGTGGAAGTGGATTACAGAAGCTATGAGGTAGCCATGCCTTAAATTATTGGATCTATGTTTTTATATCTCATCTTGCAAACGCTTAACACCAATGTGAAACTTTCAGTGTGCAAATGAAATGTGCTTTAGCAAGGGCTATTTATGTTCCTAATCTTAAGCTTAGCTTTTATTAAAAAAAATACCAAATGCCATAAACTACTTATTTTTGTAAAATAGTTACTATATAGAAATTTGTGTTCTATTACCTTTTTATTTTGTGTAATATTCTTTCAAACAGTTTACCAGGAGATCTTAAAGCAGACAACAAATAAATGATTTAATAGTGCTGATCTCCTTTGATAAAAGTTTATAGGAGCATCTAAATGCATACATAAGATGTGAAGCTTTTTTGAGATGAAGATACTATACCAAAATAGAAATATGTTGTTTTTTTATTATGTTCTTTCCTGAGTATGGATTTTTGCTAGCATTTGTGCTGCGTATGTCTGCATGGACAGCAAATGAAGTTTTATAGGAGGTTTTACAATCACCATCCTGATGATATCTGATCACACGAAGACTTATGTAACTGAAATTGATCTTGTTTTTCCTCTCCTGAGTTGCAGAAGTAATTTAAACTTTTATTTTTCCATGGCAACACACAGTAATGTTGGTGCATTTTGTGAGTACATGAGCAGCTTTGGCAGAACAAAGGTATACACTGACAGATTTTCAAATCAATGAGAAATGTATTTAGAAATTACAATGATAGCAGTCTTATTGGATATAGTAGAACACCAGGCTGATATTAGTGAGATATAATAAGAGATGCTGTGTAATTGTGAGCCTGACTGCAGTAAAAATCTTGAACAGAAGATGTCTGTTGATACATTTATACCATGCAGTATTGCATCTTACTAGGTACACTGCATTGTTGTATTGTTCCATGATATTTTTTAAGGTAATCCAACCTAGTGTTAACCCATATTTTTATCTCTAGAAAGTTACTTTATGTATGCTTCTATACCTAGGTTACTGTGGAAAATTTCTTGCGTGTATTAACAGGAAGAATCCCACCAAGCACTCCCCGATCTAAACGTCTTCTTTCTGATGACAGAAGCAATATTTTAATATATATGACAGGTAATTAGAGTTTTGTGTACAGTTTTACTGACATTTATTGTTCAGTTGGATGGATCTATATGAAAGCATGAATTCCCTTAAAGAGCCCCCCCCAAAAAAAAGGATTGACAAATGATTTTTTTCCTTAACATGTCATACTAACAAAGAAAACCTGTAAGACTGTACTTATTAAATAAAGTTTCCAGTCTAAATTATATTTTTACTGTCCTTGTGCTGAAGTTTTATTGGAGCAAAACAGTTGTTTGTTTATTTTTTGAGAAAGATGATCACCCAGACTAAATATCTTCCCTTAACCTGCATGCTTGCCTAACTTGTGTTTTTTCTATCAGGCCATGGTGGGAATGGTTTCCTAAAATTTCAAGATTCTGAAGAAATTACAAATGTAGAACTTGCTGATGCCTTTGAACAAATGTGGCAGAAAAGAAGGTAATAAGAAAGTATTGTGTAGAGGTTAAATACTGTATTTCATTAACACACCTGAAATCTTACTGGTAGGCCTAACTGAACTTTCAACAGTGATGCTGTTTGTTGTCCATAGAATTAGGTGAAAATTTACATTCAGAAAGAAGAGTTTCAAATTTCATTTTCAGCTCCCTATTGTGAGAACTGCTCCTACAATTGACTTGGCTGAACTTGCCATCTTAAAATCAATCAGTGTGAAGTCTTCTGTTCCTTAGGTTGCTAGTAGCTATCCTGGTGACTAAAAAGCAAAGTTCCTGTATTTCAATCTGGAGAAAATTGAGTAAGAGGGTTGTTTTGTTTCTTTTAGGTACAATGAATTGTTGTTTATTATTGATACTTGTCAAGGAGCATCCATGTATGAACGATTTTATTCACCTAATATAATTGCCTTGGCTAGCAGCCAAGTAGGAGAAGATTCTTTATCAGTAAGTACATTTTTGTGGTCCTAAAGACAATTTTCAGAATATCTGAGTGAGTTAAAAGTACAGCCATTGCTGCTGTTTTTTTTTTTTTATAACTAAAATTTCCTTTCTAATTGTGTACTGTATAATGTGTTTAGCTATAAAGTGCAGCTTTGACAAAACTCTAAGATATATCTTCCTGCTTTTGTGGGCTGTCACAAAGAAATGGGCTAATATGTTTTATTTTTTTTTTTTATGTTTTCTGTCACAGAAATAATGGCAAAAATCATTTCATAGTATATTTTATAAATGCAAAAGAAGAGAAAATTATAATTGACAATGCAAAAGGTATCATACGTGTAAGGAAGAGAATGACTCCCCTCTTCCTTTGTCTACATGTTGATTTTTAGCTATGCCTATCAGCACTAGTTTTTATTTGTGTATCTTTGACTGACACTATCTTGTTCAGTTCCAGTTCAGTTCTAAAAAGTTTTCAAAGACTTGGAAAGGTTTACAGGAATTCTGAGGGCCTACGTGTCCAGTGAAAAGGAAGAGGCAAATCATCTTCAGCTAATTGCTGATAGTTAAAGGTGGTGATAGAATTCTGTGCTTCCTGGTTAATATATATGTTACCTAGATTGGGCAAAAGTCTTATGGAAAGACTAATGAGAGATCTGAGAGAGGAATATTCAGTCTAGTGTTTCTTACACTTGGTATATGAAAAAAAATAACCAATGCTTATACCCCATTGACATTACAGAAGGAATGATGGGAAAGAGATTCAAGCCAAACTGAAAATAACCTGTCTTTCTTAGCTCCGTTTTCCAAGCCCTAAGAAGCTTGGGATGGTACATAAATTCACTGGACTTTTAAGAAGGGAGTTCCCAGCTTACTGTCTGTATGTAGTCTAGAAAAATGAAAATAATCCATATATTACGTAGTTCACCGACAGTATGTTTCTTTGCTTTGTGTAACTTTCCTAGGAACAAATAACACATTACACTTAACATTTGTAACATGCTGTTATGTGCTGTTCCCTTCTCTAAATACTGAGTTCTGTTCTGCAAATGCCCAGTAACTGTTTCATATTATTTTGTAGCATCAACCTGATCTTGGGATTGGTGTTCATCTTATGGACAGATACACATTTTACATGTTAGAATTCTTGGAAGAAGTTCATCCAGCCAGTCAGACAAATATGAATGACCTTGTAAGTAGGATCTCAATACTCAGTAATTTATTTTTTGGTGTTCTCCAAATGCTTTCTGCATAACTACTGTTTGTCTCAGAAGTAGCTTTGTGGGAAGGGCCTTTTTACCATTATTAAGCAAAACAGTAGTGTAACATTTAGAGGATTGTCCTTTGTGTGAAAGTGGCTTGTTGGCTACAGAAAAAAGTTAACCAAAACTAGCCATTAAAAAAAAAAATCATTGAAAAATAAATAAAATCCGTTAAATATTTAAATAAATGATTGCGCATAAAAAACGATAGTTGGAAACTTCTGGAATAAGTAAAATCAACTTAATGGATAACAGACACTTTGTGGATATGGAAAGGCAACCACTGATAGTATTTTGCAAAATTGATGAAATAGTTAAAATTCTGTTTGTGCACTCACAGATGCCTATGGAGACTGATTTCTCCACTTAGCTTCCAGACCAAGAGTTGTCTAAATCTGTCTGTGTTTGGAGTATATTATATCTTAGGTGAATACTAAACAAAGCTTTCAGTTAAGAAGCAGGAAAAAAAAAAAAAAAAAATCAACAACCACCAGATAATCTAAGACAAAATGTATGCAAATGCCCTTGTAACAATTAGACATATGTACTGATAAAATTGCATAAAAAGTAGCCATCTTTTTTATTTACTTTATTAATCACACTAAAGCCTTCATGCCTGTTCCAAGGCTAATTTTACTATAGTGATATGTTCTGCTGTGTTGCTTTGTAGCTGTAAATCCTGATGCCATGGGTGTATCAATGATCTAGGAGCACCGCTGACTGTGCACACTGTGTTTGATTCATTTGTGTAAATGGAGCATCCTTTTGTCTACAGAGGCTTGTCCTAGCCTGGCTGTCAGATCCATAGTAGAATTCAGTCTAAACAGCCCCCACTTAACAGATTTTATGTTGATATAGAATTGATTCACTGGACTAAGATTCAGGATTCCTTTACTGGAATGAGAATGAAACTGGCTTGTAATTTAATACCTGTCTGATCATAAGATACAAAAACTTCAAAATCAATCTTTTTAAAGAAGAATATGCAAGTTTTTTATTGACAGCACTTCTGCTTCTACCTCGTTCGTTCAAACAGCATTCTAGAATTCTGTTTTCTAAACTAGAAAATGAATTGATAGTAAAAAAAAAAAAGAAAAAAAAGATAAATATTAGTTCAGGTATTGTCAACAGTACAGAAAATGTTTAGGTGGTCAAGTAGCTTACATTTTGGGCTCTTTTGAGAAGATATCTCTCTGCTGTGCATTTTTTTTGTACATTGTATGCCAAATAAGTAGGAAGACCATGGAAACCTACACAGATAAATTACGTACATCGTGTAAGACATCACAACACGAATCTCTTTATTGCTGCTCTGGGAAGGGGAGGGAACAGAACCAATTATGTGGGATGGCTTGAAAAAGTACTGAATCATGATATACACATATTTCAGCAATTGTGTTATAGGACTCATATAGGTATATTTGGCACTGGAATATAATGTTAGTATTGTTCTAGGTTAAGAACAAAGAGCTAATGCTTATGCAAGCCTGATTTTTAAAACTGACACGTGCGAAGTCTGGGCAGTATATTAAGTGGCTCACTAACTAGTTCACTCATAGCTAAAGTGTAGTTGTTGACCAATCTTCTTTGTCTGATGTCTACTCCTTCAGAAGAAAGTATTTTTTTTTATGTGGTGTCCATCGTATCATCTATGTAATTTTCTCCAGCCACTCTTTAAAAAGCTTCACTTCACATCCACCAAAGGTTTGGATATTGCATTCCTGTGAAGAATGAGGCATCTTTCCTCCACCTACTTCCCACCTGCTCCATCTGTGTTGCTAAGGGGATAGCAAAAAGCTGTGCAAATGACTGATTTTCAGTTTGATTGCAATTCCGAAAAAGTAAAAAGTAATGTGCCACACATTCAAACTTTCAAAATCAGATTCATGTATGTTCTACATGAGGCCTAATTTGTCATAAGATAACTTCAAAATGTGGCAAGAAAATTTCAAGATAACAGTTTCCATTTGTGGAAATCAGATGATTTTATTTAATTAGTATCTTAATTAAAAAGTTTGGAAACAGCAGTGCATCAAGAAATGTGTTTCATTTAGCCAGTTTCTTGTTCTTTTTTTTTTTTTCTCCTTTAAAGACCCTAGTTATCAAAGTGCTAGTCTGTAATTGTTTTGCAGTCCTTTTTTAACACAGGTACTGGGTAGTTGGATTGTTAATGCTGGAATCCTCTTTTTCTCAATGCCATATGAGATTTTTGTTCCAAATTTGTCTCAAAATTGTCCTATGGTAGTAAACGGCTGTGGGACAGGTTACAAACACTTGTAGCTGGTATCTGTTTCACACTTTCAGAGCTGATGCAGTTGTTTTGGAATATGTACATGTATTCTAAGAGCTTAGAAGAGAGAAGAGAGATATTACACTTGATGTGACCAATTATATCATCCCAGCACAAAGCAGCTTTGAGTAGAAAATGAACTCAAAATAGGAACAGTTATGGCAGAGTTATTGAGTCAGAGCCACTAAGCTCTGCTGACTGTGCTGTGCTAATTAATCTGTACAGCTTTTCTTCTGCTTACTGAGTGACATTTTTGCAATGATGTGATCCATTTTTTTCCATCTTGTATTACGTTATTTTTCTTCTCCTATCAAAAACTTTATCTAAATGCATCTTTTTTAAATGGAGACAGATATTTTTCCCTTTTTTCAGTGATGCTCGGTATTAAATAATGCTAGAGCCATTAGTTCTGTCTTCTGTGTTACTGTTAACATATTTAACATGCATTATAATTAATTTCACTTAGCGAGAGTTTAAAAAGAAAATGTATATAAGTTGAATAAATTAGGATCTCAGGATGTCTGCTTTCAGTTCTTTCTCTATTAACAAATACTGTATTTTAACAAGGAGCATGGTTATCTTCTGAATGTTCATATGTGATCTGGAACTCTACCACCCAGGAAGATAAATTTGGTGTTTAGTTGTATTTGGGTTTTGACTGCCACAAAGAACAGAAGCACATTGCAGGGTGCTGCTATGCTTCAGAACTCATGCTTTCTAATAGGTTTTTAAGGAGCAGTCAGTTATGTATAGAAAATCTACAAGGGACACCAGACGTTTTATGTAATGATATTTTAAGCTTTTTTCCAACCTGGAAAATAGCATGGAAGGTAACAGCTTTTCTGCATCAAAATGACAGCTCTGATTTATTTGAGTGACTTTTTTTTTTTTAACAAAATTGTTGTAGTTTAGGTGAAAGAATTGCCATCTGTGTCTGTATGTTGCTGTCCAAAAGAAGTTTACATTTGAAATACATCAAGGTAGATTATGAGACGCAATGATAAATACACTAGCTTTGATCTGAAATCTGTTTGCTTTTAAGGTAGATTGAATACTTTACTTTCAAATTATAAACTTACAGATCATTGTCTTACTGCATTGATTTATGTCTTTAATAATTTTTGTTGTTGCTTTTTGTTTGTTTTAAAATGCCATGAGCTTTTTATCATCCTGTAGTGCTTTCTTGAGAGTTGTAAAAGGCAGGTGGAAGAAATGCAAGCAGTTCCAGGTGCAGGAACAATTGGTGAGACTGGTGCTGCCCTCCTTCAAGAGTTAGATGATGATAATTGTGTGTGAGAAATAAGTGGCTGAAAAACACTAAGCTTCCAACAAGCTATTTAGTGTGTCCATTGAGTTAAACTTAAATAAATGATTAAATCATCTGATATAATATCCTGCATGCTCTTGTTAAAAGGCTATTGTAATTCTACTTAGAAATGTGGTGTTTTTTTCTTTTTTTCTTTTTTTTTTTTTTTGACCAGAAAAGCATTCAGTTTCTCTATGAAAGCATAGAAGTATTCCACTGAAATTTTATTTTAGTGGTCTGGTCGGACAGCTTTACAGATAAACCTGTGCTTGTAATTTTTTCTGCAGAGGTGGGCATGTGATGAGATTCACTTTGCCTATGAGGATGGTGCTGTTATGCAATGTCATGCAGTCTATACGTGTGATTTTCTCCCAGCTGAGTCCAGTGGAGGGGAATTGAAGGCTCTGAAGAGCACTGATTAGATCCTTTCTCTATACATGTTTACTGCAATGATTTTGCAGATCTCACTCTTAAAATGCATTTGTTGAGGGCAAGAAAGATGTTTTTTTGAAGTCTGTGTTTTAGAAAGGAAATGGAAATATTTGCTGTGACCAGCAAGGCAAAAGTTCAGTGGGCCCTCAGATAAAAAGAGCACTGGGCTCATGTTCCTTTAGTAGCTAACATAAAGCAGAATTGTGAAGCAGCTCTTTCTTTGATGTCTTTGAAGCTATTTGCAATGGTTGCCTATGATCAATAAACTTTTGACTTGCTGTTGGGAGTCTGTTTGGGGCTGATAGAAGGCAGCTGCGTTGAAAGATCATTCATAATTTGTTGAGTCATTCGTTCTCATCATATATTCTTATCCTGGTGTTAACAGTACAAGAATATAAAAGCACTGTAGTTCTTACAATGTTTTGTAGCCTTTCTAGCCATTACCCTGACATAAAAATATAGCTGCAGCAAAGATTAATCATTACATTAAAAAAAATAAAAAATGTATCAAACAGAGGGATCAAAATAAATATTTAGCTTATGTAGCTTACTTTGGAGATAGGTTTTATGTTTGTGCCCTTAGTTGGTGCAAGTTGGAGAAAATGTATTGTCTTTTGATGAAACCACGAAATGGATGTGTATGTGCACTGGCAAGTGTCTTCTGCATGTACAGGAAGCATGATGCTGGTCAGTCTGGTTCATTTCCACTTCACATGGAGGATAGCAAAGATCTTGTTCAGGAGACTTGATACTCTGCAAACAAGATAAGTGGGAATTACTGAAAAACAGCTCAGTGGATCTATGTGCGTGTATCCATTGGTTAGGGTAAAGGTTAATGTGAGCTGAAGCCTCCTTGGATTTACAAGCTTAGACTGTAAGACCAGGTATAAAAGAGAAGTTGTAGGTGCAGAAGGGAAGAACAGTGACACAGAATCTGTCTGTAGTGGAACCAGGTACATTGCTTTCTCTCTGAGAAACTTTTTAAGAGAAGGTTTCTGCTGTCCTAAAAAAAGCCATACAAACCTGTCTATTTTGTGTTGGGCTGTGCAAAGCTTTTCTGCTAGGAGGTATGGAACTGAAACTTACAGGTTTCATCAGTCATCATCTGTGATAATTCAGGCTGCGTCTGCACTGTGCTAACTAGGACCTGTGATACTCCCTGAGAGTGCAACCAGCTGACTCATGACAGAATCAGGTATATAAGATCTATATCATGTAACCAATGGACCTGTTTGTGAAAATCACTTGGAAAATGTCATTTTAGGAAGATAAGTGTACTTGGTAGTCCTGTGCATGAATGTGCTCTGTTAAGTATTCTTTGTTGCTGGAACACACAAGGACTTGCATAACAAACAGTGTTACCACACAGCCTGCAGGCTGCCTGTGAGGCAGCTCAGTGGGCAGCATCATTTGGTCAAGAAGCTGTTCGAGGTGCTGTAGACCTTTCACCTTACCTTAGAGGTTGTTTGTCTCTGCCTGTGTTTGGTGGGGTTGTGTGTTTAGTTATGAAATGCTTTCTGTGGACTGAGACACGAACTCAGCTTTCCCAGCTCAGAGGCCAGGAAGTGGGGCCCTGATTGACTTTCATGGCTACACAGTTTGAAGTCGTGTAATGTTACTAATTAAACTACAAGCTGTGTGCTCTAGGAGGTACCCTGGAATCTGTCTGGATGGAAAATGCTAGAGACTTCTGTGAGCAGTGTGTTAGGACCTGTGCAAAAATCCCCCAATCCAAAATTTTGCATTTGAAATTCTCTGGTTTTGCCTTGAATAACTTCTGGATTTGTAACAATTTTACTGCTTAATAGGCATGCTACTTAGTCAGATATTTTAAGTATTACAACTAATCTGTCATCATTGTATCTGCTTATTCAGTATAAAGATACATTTGCAGAAAATGAGTCCATTTAAACAAATTTAATTTGTTAGTGTTGGTTTTGCTTTCCCTCTGTTGGAATTTGTGGAAGTAGTGGAACTGATAGGTACATAAAATTAATAGAGAAGTAGATAACTAATTTATAGGTGCTACAGACATGTCAGTGTGAACTTAATGTGCATAGTACACCTTTGATATTTTAAGATCCTCATTGAGTATTAATTCATAGGCTGTAAACCAGAAATAAGGATAAGGATTTTTTTTTTCCTGTTAAAAATTTAAATTCTTGATTCAATCTTAAAGCCTTCACAGCTAAATACTTGTCATGGCTTGTGAAACTTGCCTGCCTCCCTTTGGTAAGCATGAAGAATTTATACCACCTTCTGCTTTTTGGAAGGTACAGTAGTGTTGGTGCTTCTGTGTTCAGAAATGCATTTTCACATTTAATCAGTCAGTTGTAGTTGGCTTTCACAAAAGCATTTCTACGCTCATATTGATAGCTGAGGATTAAGGTTTTCTGTTTATGCTTTTTAATGTTTTATTTCAGTCCCTTTTTTTTGGCTGTGGAGCTCGAATGAAAATTAATGGTTCTACCAAAATGTATGTATGGTATTTGTCTAATTTTATAATAATTTCATTTTGAAAACTATCGATCAATGAGGGGCATGATATGACTTTCCATATTTGTTTCCAGTTTCAGGTCTGTCCAAAGAGTTTGTGTGTTTCAACTCCTGGGCATCGAACCGATCTCTTCCAGCGAGACCCTCAAAATGTTCTGATAACAGACTTCTTTGGCAGTGTAAGAAAAGTGGAAATTACGACAGAGACAATTTCTTTGGACCGTAATTTAGCTGGCTTTGAAAGCGAGTGAGTAGTCATTATCTATTATATTTGGTATATTATTTTGTTTTGTTGAGCAGAATCAAAACTGCCTTATAATTGTCAAGGGAAGAAGAACTTTGTTTTCTGAAAGGACCAAGGAGTCAGTATGGACTATTGATAAAACTGAGATTTGTCAGCTGCAAGCATTCTGTTTAAAAAAAATTCCCTCTCCCTCATTCCATCTTGCAAGTAAATACTTCTAAAGACCAAGGTGTGGCTATCATCATCAACAACAAAGAAAGTAGTCTAAAGTTTTCTTTCTTCTTTGATAGTTTAATGTGCAAAGACATTTTAATTCCTTTTTATAGTAGTTTACTTCTTCGGATAAGCTCTGAGTTCAAAGCATGGGTTGTTTCATTAATGTTTTCTTAATAAATGCTGTGTTTCTATTGTGCAAATTCTCTGCCTTTTGGCTTTAACTGTCCAGAGAATTTTAGTTGCAGAGATGTAATGATTTACATGAATAACACTGCTGGTGCAAATTTGCTGGTAGAGTTAACAGGGATTCTGTTTCTTTGTGAATGAAGAAGGAATTATAAACTCCTTTGTATTTTTGGTATTCTGTTGCCACCTATTGGAAACATGTAAAGGAAGATGTGCTCGTGCAGCAGTTTATTTGGCATTGTACTGCCATTTCTGATGCATTTTTTTTAGCTTTGACAATACTTTCCTCTAGGAGGGAAGAAAGAAAAAATTGTCAACTCTGACCAAGATTGTAAGATTTTTCAACTCATAAATTTATGTGAATTAATATTAACTATCACTCAGATAAATTGTTAGTGGATATCAGGTTCATTAATTTTAAAGATAATGCTAGCTCGGGCTCTTGTAATTAATACAATCCTACACTAAGTCCAATGTATTTTATAATTTAGTTTCATATTGTGCTTTTAACTATATTGTGCGTGCTAGTACTAGCCATATACAAATTAAATAATTCTTTGCTTCATTTAGAACAATTTAATGAAACTAGATTTTCTTTTCTTTATTTCTCTGGAAAAAAAAAAAGAAAGTTTTTGCTAGGACACCATGTGGGATTCTTGTTTGTGGAAAATTTAAAGGAGAATCAGGTTTCAGACTTATTAATTTCAGAGCTGCAAAGTATATACACCCTCCTTTTCAATTAAATCTCACAGTGAGATACATTTCTAGTTACAAAATCTTCTGGTTAAGGCTCTAATTAAATATTATTTTGCTTTTAGTATACTAATAGTAAGTGAACTTTTTGTAAGCTTACCTAGTTGCCTACCAGAATGCTGAACTATGAATTGTACAGGATGCTTTCTTGAACCACCTCAATACCTTATTTGCTATTTTTTCCTATGCAGCTTTCAGAATGAGCTGGGATGTTTTGCTGTTAGGATTAAAGCTTGTTGGTTTTTTTCTTTTTTTTTTTTTTCTTTTTTCTTCAGTGTATAGTGAAGATATTATTTTCATTTTATTTTATAGTGATGCCAAATGTTAAAATAAACTTTTTAATGAGTTTTCATCTTACTCAACAAAGACCAGAATTTAATAATCTTTCCAAACCAGTCATCAATAATCTTGTTTAATAGTGTTTCTAAAAACTTTTGTGAAGAGCAGAAAAGTTGCATAGAATGGAACTTGCACTCCTTAGGAATTTGCCTTAAAATAAACACGTGTATTTGCCAGGAAATGTCTGATACAGAAATCTGTGCCCCCTAATACAAATGTTGATGTGTTACACAGGTCACTGTAAATCTGTGCATGCTGCTCTTATTCTGAGAAAATCTGTGCAGCATTTTGAATCTTTTCCTTGTTCTGTATTGTATTTGTTATGTTTTTTGTTTAAAAGATATTTTGCAGTGTTATTTTAACATTTGATATGTTCTGTTTTGTTCCTTCTTTTTTGAATCATTTTCTCTCCGTTTCAAGCTTTTTCCTTCTGTTCTTACATATTGGTGGCAGTAGAGTGCTACAAAATATTTGTGTTAGGGAGAAAAACAGGGAAACAAAGTAGGGACCCCAGCTCTGATCCAGTCTTAGTGAATGTTAGATGGGAATTGTTTTTGTTATGAAGTTGCAAGGGTCAATGTGTGCAACTAAGCATACTGTTTCAAACACAACAACTGAACAAAGCCACTGACTGCACAGATAATGGGTAGAGAAGATGCTGTTGTGGGATATGACCGTGCCTTTGAATTGAGCTGTTTACAGACAGGGCAAGGTTTCACCTAACTCAGTGTTTGACTTTGCCAGATCTTTCCATAGATCTCATTTCTTCTGTTGCACGATTCTTTAGCAATTACTTTGCAGCGCGGCTCACGCAAGCTCAGCGCAAGCAGTTCTGCACTGCGAGGTCAGTGTCTGATTGTGATACCAGCTCTGGTAGTCCCAGCGCAGCCTTAGGAGTTTCCTTTGCTTGAGCTGAGCTCATACAAAGAAACAACTAAATAACCAAAAGGGGAAGCTTTCTTTCTGTCTAGTAGTTGGAGACTATTTCAGTCTAAAAGCTTTAAAACTGATGGGGGGGAAAAAAAGGAATCCCCTGTTGTTTCCTTTCTTCATTGTAGTTTCAGTCTAAGCTATGTTCACTTCAGAGGGTTTCTTCCTGACCTGGGCTGTAGCTGCCACCTTCAAAACCTGGATGACATTCATGGACCCTGGGGCTCTGGCTGTTACTGTGTGTGTCTAAATCACTGTAAGAGCATAACATGAACATGAATGTGATGGTGAGTCTTGCAGACAGGTCTGTGTGGAGCTGAGCACTGCTGATCAGTGCGGGGTGTCTCAGCCTCAGATTGTGGCTGTACAGCATGTTAGATCACTTTCTCCTGCTGCTCCTGTCATGAGGAAGAGTTGTGTAACAGAGAAAACACTGGGAAAAATGAGGGCTTAATGTTTCCCTAGAGAGTAGTAGAAGGTGAATTAAAGGCAGCATCATATAAAACCATCCTAGTTTCATTGCTTTTGAAGTTTGGGCTTCAGGTTTATTAATTGTGCTGGGCTGAACTGTGCACTACTCTCAGGGGCTGTTGTCCTAAAACTGAAGAGTTTTAACTGAGCCACTTGGCTTAAGAAGGGTGCTTGTGTGATAGAAAATAATTGTGAGTGATTGGTTTATTTGCAGTACACTACTACTAATGCTGTCTCCCATCCATTTTTTGATAGTAACTCCTTATTTCTGTTTCCTGTTCTTCTTTTCTACTGGCTATTCTCAGTTTTATGTGCTTGATGGATGAAGCTGCTGTTGTGTATTCCTGAACACAAAGGGATCCAGTTTGTGAACAAATATGTAATTTGATTTGGCCGGTAGATGTTGCTCAGCGCAGTGGACTTTTCCTAAAGTAGCAGAAGCTGTGTTTGTTCAGAGATTGCTGTTAATTTTTGACCAGGTGCCTCAGTTAGTTTGGAGATCACCATTAATTTCTGATTAGGTGCTCGCAGAGGCGGGTGGGCGCCGGGAGGTGGCAGCAGCGCTAAGGCAGCCGGGCTGGGATGGCAGCAGCTTTGGGTTGGGTTTCTCTTCCCCTTTATTCGATCAGCTTTAGAGTGAAATTAGATGAGGAGAGGAAGGAGGAGCTGAATTATTATTATTATTATTATTATTATTATTATTATTATTATTATTATTATTATTATTATTATTTATTCAGAGTAAATTCTGGAGAGGCTCTGTTTTTATTTTACACTTGTTGTACATCAGCACACATGAAGCATGCTCAGCAGTTATGCATGTGGTATACTTTCCCTTAATGCCTTACCATTATAACAAAATGAATTCATAATTGTGGATGTTTTTAATCCGTAAGTGCTTTAATAGTCACAACTAATTTGGAGAGTTTGAAGAAGTAATAGGCAGTTAAATATTACTGCTGTATTTCTTAAAGTATTTTGTAAATACATTTATTTTTTTGTCTGCTTGGCTGGAAAAAGATAAATGTATGTGTATATATGTGCATGTACACACAGTACTGTGTTTGCAAAAGTAAAAGATAAATTCAAGGTAAGATGACTGCAATAGCAGTAGTAGAAGAAATTCAATGGAAAGGCTGCTGCAAAAATAATGCTTCCTATATTATTCTTTTGACCTGTGACATCACAGGTGGGTTTTGGTGGCACGGCAGTAGAGGTTGAACCTTCCCACCACTATTCCATTACATTTTAATGCTGTGCAACAGATGGCAGCAGAGGGGAAGTCTGACGGAATGGTGACTTCCATTGTGTATTAGGATACATTTTCACTAGTGTAACATGACTATAGAATAAAAAAGGATGACTGCTAATATCAAAAGGGACTGCTAGTTATAAATCGTGTTGCGAAAAACTTAAAAACACACAAATATTATGCTTGGTTATTGTGTTCCCTGTTTAGCAATAAAAAGCAGAATTGAGTAATAGATTTTTTTTTTTTTTTTTACTAATTTAAAATACTTTTTTGATGATAATTTTTGCCAGAGATTTTTGTTGTTCATAAGAAAATGTTTTGTTGCAAAACTGTAGCTTAACTCAAGTTTTCTTTAATCTTGGATGCATTTTCCCTTCTTCTACCTTTAGTGGAGTTTATAAGGCATCCTGTATTTGTTCTGTGACAAAGCTTTAATTATTACTACTTGGCTTTGCTGCAGTCGTTTTGTGCATTTTCAGTTGAATACCACTCTGCTGAACCTACATACATAGAGTTTAAATAGGAATTGACACACAAAAAAAGAAAACTGTTGGTCTGCAGAGGTGCTGTGTATTGTGAATGCCCCACAAAGTTCACTTTAGATAAAGACTAAAGTACATAACAGTCAATGGCAGTCTTTCTATTAACTTCAGACTTGTTCTTTGTAAGTGACTTTCATCTGCAAATTGACTTATGTATTATAATAGTTTAGGTACTAGACAGGTAATGACTAAATTAGTTGAATGTCCTTCAGTAAATTCAGCAGATTTTAACAATCTAAATAGCTGAGAATATCTAGGAATCGCAGGATCTTCAGTCTAGATTATTTTTCATTGTTTATCTATTCCTTTTTACA